AACTACCCCATTTTAAGGTTAAACTATTTCAGAATATGCATGTCTTTAAATTTCTCTTCTCTGGGCTTCATTTTATGTCCTGAGTTCATTTATGTTATAAGAGTGAATGGAGATTGCCTTACTAGACATGACTGGGCAAACTATAAAGTGAAATGATCTTTTTGTCTTTCGGTTCCAGGAGCTGCATGCTGCTTCCCTTGAACAGCATCTTCTAGATCAAATTCGAATAGTTTTTCCAAAGGCCATTTTTCCTGTTTGGGTTGATCAGCAAACTTACATTTTTATCCAGATTGGTAGGTGCTGTTACGATATTTAGGAGCCATGGTGGCACAGTGGTTTAGTGCTAGGCTGCAAAACCGAAAAGTCGGCAGTTTGAACCCACCATCCGCTCCACAGGAGAAAGATGTGGCAGTCTGCTTCCTTAACGATTACAGCCTTAGAAACCCTCTGGGCAGTTCTGCTCTGTCCTACAGGGTGGCTATGAGTCGGAATTGATGGCAGTCGGTTTGGTTTTTGGGGTTGTGGTATCTGCCGTCATACTCTAGACCATAACACTGAGTCCAAAGCAGAGAGGTAGATGCACACTAATGAGCTTTATTCCCCGCACAGTTTCACTGTTGCCAAGTGCCATCTATGGAAGGCTGGAAACTGATACTCAACTCCTTATTCAGCCAAAGACACGCGAAGCCAAAGACAACACGAATTCAAAAGCAGATGATGCACAAGGAAAATATCATAATTATGGGAGAGACCAAGAAAGAATGGCAAAAGTACTTCAAACCAAACAACTTCAGTCTAACACTGTGGGAGTCACTGGATCTAGTGGAACAGATCCAGGACTTACAGTGGACTCATCAACACCAAGCTTATGGACTATAATAGGAAGCATTTTTTCTTTTGGATCTGAGAAAGAACAAGAGACATCCTGGGGCTTAACTGAAATTAATGCATTCAAAAATATGCAGTCAAAGGTGGTTCCTCTAGACAACATTTTCAGAGTATGTAAATCTCAGCCTCCCAGTGTATGTAACACATCAGCAACTTCTACGTTTCAGAAACACTGTGCCATTCATGTATTTCCATGGGACCAGGAATATTTTGATGTGGAGCCCAGCTTTACTGTGACCTATGGAAAGTTAGTTAAGCTACTTTCTCCGAACCAACAGCAAAGTAAAACAAAGCAAAATATCCTGTCCTCTGAAAAAGAGAAGCAGATGTCAGAACCACTAGATCAAAAACAAATTAGCTCAGATCATAGTCAAGAAGCTGGTAAGACCTGTGTGCTAAAGGTAGTCTGGAATGGACTTGAGGAATTGAAGAATGTCATCAAATACACCAAAAACATAGAAGCTCTACATCTTGGGAAAGTCTGGGTTAGTGAAAACTTTATAATTAGGGGGAAAATAATTTTATGTTGCTTCCCCAGATTATGAATTAGAATAATGTTTTATATATAAATTGAAAACTACTCTTAATAAGAAATACCTTGTCTAAAATCCCCGGGAGTACACATTTCTGATTACAGGATAAATAGTCTTTGTTTAGGTAACAGATTGTGTATTTTTGGCTAAAGAAGCTTGGACAGGTACAATAAAGGTATACCTTCTTCATTTGTTATAGAGGCCTCAATTTTAGATTGCATTCAATGAGGATGTATTCTAGGAAGGTACCTGTGTAAAATGAAA